AATCGGGATGGGTGTGTCAGAGGCAATGAGATTGGCACAGGATAGAGCACGGTTTAGGGCTGTTGTACATAGGGTCACTATGAGTCGCAAATGACTCGACGGCACATAACAACAATAACAACAATCATATTGATGAGTCTTCTTTGTACGTGTATGGGTATTATCCTATCACTTATAATGTTGTATTTCAGGATAGAAAGTAAAATTGACTTTGACTGTAAATGCAATACCATTCTTTTTTTGTTTTTCATTCCCAGAATAGTCTACCATATGATGATCTGATTCAAAGTGGCCAAACCTGGTCTAACTCATCTCACTAATGTCTAGTATGTCAATGTTCATGCATTCCATTACTTTTCTTAGCAGTTTCCAGTTTTCCAACATTCAAGTCAGTTGAAATGAGGAAGAACAATAACAAACATGCCTTACTAAGTTCTAAGAAATCTGAAAGACAGATACTTGGCCAACTGACTGGAAGAGAACCATTTTATTTTCTCATTCCCCAAAAAGAGATTTAATAAAATGTGAAAATTATAAAAAAGTACCATTAATATCACATGCAAACAAATACCTTACTGAAGATTATTTTAAAACATATTTAGCACTCTATCATTGGATATTTGCCAAAAATTCATGCTAGATTTAGAAGAGGTTATGGCATATAGAATATCAATGGTGATGTCAGATATATCTTTGCAGAAAGCAGACAATAAAACCCGTAAGATGTCTACCTGTGTTTTGTTGACTATGCAAAGTAACAAATTATGGCTAATATTGAGAAGAATGAGAATCCTGGAACACTTAATTGTGCTCATGAAAAACCTATAACTATTTCAAGAGACTGTTGTCAGAACAGAGGAAGAGGACACTGCATGGTTTCAAATCAGGACAGGTGTGTGTCAGGGTGTATATCTGCACAATCTGTATGCTGAACAAATCATTCAAAAAGTCAGACTTTATGAAGAACGTGGCATCAGGAGCTGAGGATGCAAAAACTTCTCCAATAGGTTAATAAAGGAAGCCACAGATTGGAAAAAATATTTGGTAATGGCTTGTCAGATAAGGGACTTTTATCTAGAATTTATAAAATACTTGAGCACCACAATAAGATAAAAGTAAAGAACCCAATTGAAAAATAGGCACAGAATATGAACAGACACTTCACCAAAGAAGACATTCAGATGGCAAACAAACACATGAAGAAATGTCCAAAATCCCTAGCTATAAGAAAGATACAAAGAAAACAACTATGAGATAGCATCTCACCCCAGTCAGAATAGCAAAATTTAACAGAACAGCAAGCAACAAATGCTGGCAAGGTTGTGGAAAAACTGGAACCCTTATTCACTGTTGGAGGAAGTGTAAAATGGTGCAACCACTATGGAAGGCAGTGTGGTGCTTTCTCAAAAAGTTGCAAATAGAAATACCATTTGAGCCAGCAATTCCACTTCTGGGAATTTACCCTAAAGAAACCATTACTGCCACCCAAGTATATATATGCCCACCCATGTTCATTGTGACTTTGTTCATAATAGCAAAGAGCTGGAAACAACCAAAGTGCCCATCAACAAATGAATGGATAGAGAAGCTCTGGTATATTCCCACAACGGAATACTATGCAGCACTGGAAAACAAGGAACTCATGAAATGTTATGCTAAGTGGATGACCCTAGAGGACGTTATTCTAAGTGAAATATCTCAGTCACAAAAGGACAAATATTGCACAGGGCCACTATTGTAAAACAGGACTGACATTGGGGTTGAGGGAAGAACAGAGAAGGAGGGGAGGAATTATGTGTGCTGCATTGCAACAGATGAGGGTGAGAACTGTTTAAAACGGATATATAATTAGGTATCATTGTCATATCAGGAGTCCAGAATGAAGGCTGCACAGTGCAGTGGACTTGGGGGGAGAAATTGCATAGCCATGAAAGTGTCTTTCTTTTACTTATCAAGGAGAAAAGTGAATTGAGGGGGGAGGAGGTGGGCAGGGAGAAAAGTGCAACAACGAATGACTGGAAACCCTAAATCTCAGTAAACTTTCATTAAAATTAATTTTTTTGAAAAAGATATTTGTTTTAAAATCAATTCTCAAATGAATGAATGAACTTATCTCCCTAACACCATGCTTTTAAGTAGAATCTCTGAAGGTCTGCTGCAGACCATTGTCTGCCTTTCCTGTGATGAAATGTACAAATACAGATTTTCTAGAATAAGAGAGCTTGTCTGGAAAAGGGGAGCCATTATGGAAAGTCAGTTCTTAACATTCCTCTTTTAATTAGTTTTCATTCATTTATTTTACACGTGTATCATCTTTATACTCTGACTTCCTGGTAATTTTTTTAAAAGTTAACATTTTATTTAGGAGTAGTTTCAGATTTACACAAAAATTACAAAAAAAGAACAAAATGTTCCTGAACACTCTCATCCAAATTTTTCTAATACTAACATCTTATATAACCATGTTACAATTGTCAAAACTAAAACATTAATTCTGGCATAATGCTATTAACTAAACTATGGGCTTTATTTGGATTTTCTAGTTTTTATACTAATGTTCTTTTTCTGTTCTGGAATCCAATGCAGGTTACATTGCAGTTATTGGTCATGTTTCCTTAGTCTCCTCCAATACCTGATATTTTCTCAGTCTCTTCTTATTGTTCACGAACTTAAAAGTTCTGAACCCTGTTCTTCAGATATTTTTCAGGATGTCCTTCAGTTTGTGTTTGTCTGATGTTTTCTCAATCTTCGAGGCTTGTTGGTTTAGGGGAAACTACCTCAAAGGTGAGAAGGATGGACAATCTCCTCCTGTGCAATTAAATGCCTCTGAAAACCCACTTGAGGGTCAGCTATGGGTCAGTTCTGACTCTACGGTACACACCACCACCACCACAACAGTTTCAAAGGTGAAGTGGTCTTGTCATCATAGTGTATCAGGGAAGCTGTGATACTGATAACTTATCAAGTTAACTACAAATATTTGGAAAATTCTAAAGCAAACCACAAACATTTGGTTAGAAGGGGGTGTCTGCCAGACTTCCCTACTTTCTTCTTTTTCATACTCTATTTTGGGGAATCAAGTGAGTAAATGAGGTTAACATTCAAGAGAAAGAGAATTAAGTCAAGGGGAAGGGAATTAAGTATCAACTCTTAGTTGTCGTTGTGTGTCATTGATTAAGAACCTGTCCATAGTGGACTCTTCAGTGGATTTTCAGAAGCAGGAAATTGCATGTGAGGAGATTGTCCACCTTATTCCAGGGGAGCAGCTGATGGATTTGAACCATGTGCCCTAGAGGCTGCAGTGTAGTTTCTTACCACTAGACCAACAGTTGTTATTGTTGTTGTTGGGTACCCTTGAGTCAGAACAAATCCATAGCTGACCCATGAGGCCACCAGAGCTCCCTAGTTATTGTTATTAGGAACTATCAAGTGGTTCTGATTCATAGAAACCTTATGTACAACAGAATGATCCTGCACCATCTTCACCATTGATACTGTGCCTGAGCTCATTGCCGTAGCTACTCTGCCAATCCTTTTCAGTAAGGGTATTTCTCTTTTTTATTTACCCTCTACCTTGCTAAACAGAATGTCTTTCTCCAAGAGCTGCCGTTCCTAAGGATATTCCCAAAGCATGTGAGATGCAGGGTTACTATGTAACTTCATGGCTGTGCATTTGAATTATGAACCTACATGAACTTTCAAAATTGCTAGACTATAGCTCCATGCTATAGTCTTAACATGCAGTTGTTAGTGGTTGTTAAGTGTCATCTAGTTGAGTACAGCTCATAATGACCCTAGGGACAAGATATGAACCCTGTCCTATTCTGGACCATACGCACAATTCCTGACACAAAAGAGCCCATTGCAGCAGTCACCCTGTCAATTCACTTGGTTAACGTCTTCCTCTCCTTTGCCAACGCTCCACCCTTCCAAGTATCATGTCACTTTTCAAGGAAAAGCACCTCCTAACAACATTACCAAAGTAGGTGATGTGAAACTTCAGCATCCTTGCCTCCAAAGAGCACTCTAGATGCCCCTTTTTGAGGCATATTTGTTTATTTGTCTGACAATCTATGGGATGTTTAGTGCTCTTCTCCAACACCACAGCTCAAAGGCATCAATTTTTTTCTTCTATCATCCCTATTACTTGTCCACCTCTCAGATGCATAGCAAGTAATCAGAAAGGCCATGGCATGACAGACACACCTTAGTCCTCAAGTTGACATCATTACTACTCAATAATTTTGGGAGATTCCTAACTGTCCTCCAAATTTCTTGACATAGATTAGTAAGCACATTCAAGGCTGCATCTGTTAATTGAA